AATATAATAATAACAACAATATCAGTATGTAATAAGTAATGATATTGTGTAAATTAAATATAAAAAATACAATCTCCGCATATTTATTCATTAACTCCAAGTTACCATCTGATTATAGTATATTAAATATGAAAAATAATCTTAATACAGTGCATAATGTGTTAAGCCATCGAATCTACTTAATATACAGGTGGATCTTTCAATCGAAGGTGCTACTGCAGTGATAATGCAAGAAAATTGGGAAACGTTATTTTGTTCTCGACAAAAATAAATATTTTTATTAATAATTTTGCTATTTACTATAAATATTGTATTGAAATGTAGTGCAGATCATTAAATTTTGTGGACATTTTCTATGATGAAAATCATTTATAAGGAGGTCTCTACCCTTAATATAATAATACAAAATGAAAAGGATGAGGATGGGTTCAAGCCACACCTACCCGTTTCCTGTCCTTTTCATGTATCCGATTATATTATATATTTTAATTAGCTTATTTATTATCTATTATGATTTGTGTTCATTATTTTGATTTTACATAAGTTTTAGCCACAATTGTATAATAAAAAATAAAAATCAAGACTTTAGATAAGGAACAAATAGAGATGGGAAATTATGATTTTGCAGCCAGTTTACTAAAAATATATTATGACAAACACTTTTTGTCTGTCCACTTCATGGTTTGCCCACAAATAATAAAAGGAGCAGTGGGACAGGTGGCAATGGCACAGTAACACATCCTTTTTTTCACCCGTCCTTTTCAAGATTTGCCCATGAATAATAGAAAAGGACATGGGACATGTTTCTGTGCCTTCACCATGCCACATCTGTTACCGTCCTTTTTTACATTATTTTGCAGAATACCCATACCATCATTTCTAACATAATGGACCAAAAAGACGGGTGATGGGTTCAAGCGACACCTGTCTATCCCTGTTCTTTTCCAGCATCCCATAATTAATGGATCAGCATATATATTAAACAGTAAATATAATATTATTTTATAATATTAAGAATTAATCAATTAATATTCTCTTTTTCAGAAAAAACCCCTGTCTACAATTAGACAATCTATCTGATAGCGAACATTATGTGACAATCAAGGAAAGCATTATTTTATCAGATTAGTTATATTAAGAATTAATTGGTGCTTTTATTACTCCTTTCAGAAACACTGATTCTTTAATTAAACAATCTATCTGATGCTTGTTACGCAATTATCAAAAAAAAAATTCTTATAGAACATTATTTTACCATCATTACCAACAAAGAGATCGAACAAATAATTTCATCTAGTGATGGTATTTGACCTTTTAAACATATAAAATATGCATATAGGCTGTTTTGAACTATATGATTTTTTAATAATAATTCGATTGGAGCAACATGCATCTGTACATAAACTTGTTTCAAATTTTATTATTATTATTATTATTTTAGGGAATTGTTATTCGCACCCCTCCTGTGACTAAGACAAAGATGAAACAATAAAATCATCACATTTTAAAGCCATTCATTGGTCACATTACTACACTTAGTCACAGAATGGGTGCGAATAACAAAAATGGGAGGCGCGAATAATAATTCTCTTTTTTTATTGGTTGAAATTTGTTAAATGTTGATCACTAAAATTTTGGGGATGTGTGGAATCAGCCCCCCTTATTTTATTTTCGTCGATCATTATATAAAATCACATGACTACACTCTGCCCTTGATTTTTTTTTTTCAATCTTTTAAATTTGATACGAGAATAGATATGTTCTTTTAAAAAAGTAAGCTTAAATAATTATTTCTATATAGTATCATGATGATGACAATTTTAGTAAAGTTGGGAATCTCTCTGAAAATAAAAAAAAACAGATGATAATTTTACTTCTGAATGATAAAAAAATAAAATTATTTAATTCTACAAAAAAAAAAAAAATAATTGTTAATTTTTTTCTTTTTTTTTTAAAAAAATAGATTGGATCCGTTTGTTTATCCATAGAAATAAGAGCAATAAATTAAAATATTAAGTTTTCTTTATTTGTTTTTATTATTACCCACCCCCTCTATTTTCTCTAAAAAATTTCCAATTTATAATAATAATTAATGTATGTAATTTTTGTTTGTACAGATAATGTATACAAATGATATTGGTTAGCTGTCTATATTAAAAAAAATAGGTAAATGTATATAAAATAAATATTATTAAATATGATGTTAATATAATCTACAATCTATCTCATCCATCTCCTATAAGCAAAATAAAATTATTATAAATTTGGTTGTTTATTTTTCATAATATCACAGGTTTTAATGGCAGTTTTTTCATCTTTCATTTGTAACATATAAATAGCTCTATTGGTAGCGTTGTTAGTACTATTTATAGTGATGGCCACACCGGCCTTACCAACCCTCTCTACACCACCTTCCCAAATAATTGAATCAATTAATTTTGTTTTTTGTTTATCCGAGTTCACAACAATTCTTTTACGATATGATGGCGTTTCCAATGATATTTTCATCTGTCCCCAACCAAGGTTCGTCCATACACCATGATCGTTTTGTAAAAATAGACGACATTTTGATTCCATCACTTGTGAAACTTGTTGTTCTGATTCATGTACCTTTTGTTGTCGATCTACCACAACAGATGTTGTTCTTGTAGCTATACCTTGTAATGATGATGATCGTGACATAAATCCTTGATTTGTCTGATTCGTCACTGGACTTAATTCTTTATCATATTGTTTTACTTTCATTAAACTTGAATGAAATAGTATTGCATCAGTCGTACTAGAAAATTTGATACGATAAAATTCATTTTTCTGTGCAGTTTCACATGAAATGTTAATGCATGTTGGATTTTCTTGATGTATTCTTGTATTGGCATGAATCCATGCATTAAGTACCATTTTGCTCGATTTTGGCAATATGATAGCCCAACATCCTTTATTTGAAGTAGTTAGTCTTACTTCTACTATACAATTATCTTTTTTAGTTAAAGGTTTCCAATCATTATCATGCCAAGATTCTACTTCACATATTGGTGATTGGTAAATCGTTTCTTTGAATGCAGAAATACTCATCACGGAAGATAAAGAAGTTATTGAGTTGGAACGTCGACGAGTGAAACTTGATAACAATGATGAAGATCTTGATGGCGATGCAGATATTGCTCTTGATGTTGATTGATATTTTATATAATCGTAATCTTTTGGTGGCGTTTTTGGTGGCGTCGAAAGCAATGATGGTGTGCGTAATGATAAACCAGCTTCCACATTATCATTTGATGAAAGTTTATTAGAATTTAATGACAAAATGTCAGCACTTGGACTTTTTCTTAAAACACTTGCTGACAATGATGAATTATGAAGTTGTGGGTTGCTTCCAACTTTCCGTAGATTATTATTTAAGACTAGAGGTTTTATCGCAGTCGCTGTAAACATAAAATGGAAAAAAATTCTTAGCATATTTTATAATTTTGACCAATCAAATCGGATACGAAGAATGATACCTTTATTAACAAACATTATAGCACCAGCTATTATTTGGCACAAAGTTTTATGATTTTCTGTATTATTGGAATAAACAACGAAACTTCCTCTTTCAGGTACCATGATCTCAAGCATATCTTTAAAAGAAAGAAATATAATAATAATAACAAGTATAAATAAACTAAATTTATTTAAAAAAATTTTTTCGTATTGTCTTAACTAACCTCCTTGATCATCACTTAGGTCTTTAATCATTAAATTTCTAAGACTTATTGGAGCAAACAATAAGCAATATGCAAAATTTGAATATTTTGCTTTATCCTCATCCTCGTTAATTTGGCAAATTAATATGAGATCTGTCAGTATAAACAAATGTACTTCTAAAAGAGTTTTTATAGGTTTCTTGTGTTCATCAAAATCGGGTATTTCAATAACAATATCATGATGTAATAAAATTTGTCGATTAAATGGTAGATTTGGTGGAAGCAATACTAGTTTTGCATTCTATTAATAAAAATAACCAAAGAATTTTTTAAAAATAAAAAAAAATCCAATCAATCATTAATTGAAAAAATTTTTTTAATCAATATTGTTACCTTTAGTTGCTTTGTAAATAAATCTATAGCTTTAGAATCATCAATAATTGTTTCTAAATTATTTATGGTGATTTCAAAATTAGTTTGATTTAAGGAACTTGAAAAATCTTCGATTTTCACATCAATTGGTGATTTGACAGGTGACGCATTTGAGTTTAAATCATCTTGTTCAAATGATATAGTATCTGTATTAGTAGTAGTTTTAATATCTATAGCGTCAATTGTAGGTATCGGTGATGTGTTATTTATTGGTGTGATAGGCATACTAAATGTTTCTGATGTAGCAGATAATGGATTTGTGGTAGTAGATGGACTGGGCGCAGAAGACCCAGAAGAATAAGTAGATGTCATTGTTGATGTAGTAAATACACTAGATACACTGGACGAGGTTGTGCTAGATGGTGTAGTTGATGGTGTAATGTAAGTAATAAATGTATTAGGTGTACTAGGTGTATTGGGTGTACTAGGCGTATTAGGTGTAGTATCATTATTAATGCTATTAGTAAACAGATTAGTTATTGGTGTAATAGGAGTAGTTGTTAATGATGTATTATTAGAAGTTGGTGAAAGTGGTGATGAGTCGGTAGGAGTAATAGTAATTTCTTTAATATCTGTTGATGTTGTATTTGATGTTACGACTTTTGCTTGAAATTCAGCTTTTTTATTAGATTCTAATATTGGTACATTAGTATTGATTGTAATTGGTGTTTTTTCTATCAATTTAATTATGTCATCAATGCGTTTATTTGCATTTTCTAAAGGATCATGATCAGATTTTTCAGGATCAGTACTTTTTAAAAGTCTCTAAAAAAATTTTTTTAAAATAAGTTAATAAAATTTTTTAATATAAAAAATTTTTTTTTGAACTAGAAATTACACAAACCAAATAAAATTTTTTATAATAATATAGTCGATAAATTGGCATTTCAAAAAAACAATCTAAAGTAACTAGTTGATTCCTTTGTATTGACATATCCTAAAGAAGAATTTTTTTTTTTGTTTTAAAATTAAAATTCATTTAAATTTGATTGATTGATTGATAAATTCTTACATTTAAAGTTTGTTGAAGATTCGTGTTTTCTTTTATTTCAGGCCATTGATCAAATCCTCCTTTATAATTTTTACAAAAATTTGTATAGGGTTTTTCCATATCATTTACCTAAATACATATTGTATAATTTTTATGATCTAGGTAATAAAAAAGAAAAAAAAGGTTTTATAATAAACATTATCTATTTACCCATGTCATAAGTATATCACCTAATTCTTTATTAGGGTTTACACCAATTTTAACAAGTTTCTAAATCAAAAATTAGATTGTAAGAAAAGTTAATTGTTAACATACATTTCTTTTTTTTTTTAGAGTAAAAGGTTTCTCTTCAAACTTTACCGTGCAAAATTTTCTATTTCGTTTATAAATGCCTTCAATTAAACGAAACATTTTATCTATTTCTGTTGGCGGTAAATTGTCAATGTCCCAGCAGGATGTTACGCGCTAATAATAAATAGATTTGAGTAATGTTTAAAAATTTTTTTGGATGTTTTGTTTTTAGTGACTAACCTGTAATATAGTTTTCAAATCTGATACATAAACCTTTTCACTTTCTATTAGATCTGATAATGCATTGACCCTTGGTCTACCAGTAGTTTGTGAAGCAGAAGGGAATGGTTTCGAGTTGGATGGACTTGTAGGTGGTGAGTATAGTGGTGAAAAAGGAATTGAAGGCTAAAAGTGAAGAGGACATGATCGTCGTATTTTTTAATTGGTGTTTAGAAAATGTTCTAATTTCGCGTTTTTTTACGATGTTTTGTATGTGTTGGATGATTATTTTTTTCGTCGTCTAGTAATTGTGTTGACGGTGTTAATAATGTTGCGTGATAGGATGGTTTTTCTAAGAAAATTTTTTCTTCTTCATTTTTCCGTATTATGAGTAATGTGATAACATAGTATATATGAAATACTAAAAGAGGGTTCTATTTGAAAAATCATATATAAATTACACGAGTTACTGAAAATCTCGACAACAAAATTTGTTTGTGAGAAAAGAAAAGTCGCGAATTATGAGAGTGGAAGCTGATGAAAAAAATCATGCTTAAAATAATAAATATATGTGATTTATCAACAACAACACCATTACAATTAGAAGGTGCAGTGCAAAAAACATTCGCAAAGAAAATATGGCAACAATGCATATTTTACAAAATCCAAGAAAAAGATTTTGGGAAAAGTTTGATGAAACATTTTGTTATTAATTGTGTCTAAAGACTTGGAAAAAAGATTTTGGGAAAAGTTTGATGAAATATTTTGTCAATAATTGTGTCTAAAGATTAGAAAAAAGATATTAATATTATTACTGTTATTATGTTGAAATAAGAATTTTTTTATTCAACCTTTCAACGTTTTTGATTTCGACTTTTTCTCCATCTTTTTATTTCTTCTGGTTCTTCTTATTCGAATTAATCAATTGGCGTGTTGAAGCATTTTGTGAATATAATTGTCAACAATCATTAATATTAATTGGATTATTCAAGAGTCTAAAATTAGGCTCTTTCTTTTTTTTTTTTTACTATTGTCGTCATTTAATTTACCATTATTTTTTTTTTTCTTCACATGTAAAAATTTAATTTTGTGTAAAATCTTGTTTTTAATTTTAATTTTAAATTAAAAAATATAAATTAAAATCTAAATTTCATGGGGGCAACATCAATTATTATCTTTATGAAATTTACAAATTTCATTCATCATCTCCATGAATTTCTTTTTTCGCTTTCTGTTAGGTCCCCGAGGAAACGATTAATGGATGTTTATTTGGTACTGATGAATGATTTAAATGATTTGAACGGATTTGATTGATTTGATTGATTGATTGATTGATTGATTTGATTGATTTGATGAATGAATGGATTGATTGATGAATAGAGATTGACGAATGAATTTTAATTGTTTCTATTATGATGTAATTTCAAAAGATAAACTGACAAAGAAATTATTTTATCGTTCGTTATTATATCTATACATAGTAATTATATATATATATATATATCTAGATATTTCCGTATATGTTTAATAGGCGATGGATAAATAAATCTTATCAAAGAACATTGTCTCAGAATGCTGTGACCACGTACGTAAATTTCAATGATCATTGTTCTAAACATATTGTTATATGATAAGAATTTATTAAGCATGTAAAGTAAATTTGAACTACTTCAATTTTGTCAATGAAAAGTTCAAAGATCTTTAGATATAATTGGTAGTTTTATTTAAATAAGTTTTTTCGAGAGAAAATTGAATCATGTTAAAATCACCCAGGGTCACCGAGTTATACGAACGGGGCACAAATAAAATTTATTTTTAAGTCGTATAATCATCATTATGCCGCAATAATACTAAGCATTTAAAATTATTTCTTTGTTAAATACATGCTTTGTTTCGTATATCTAAAAAATAATAATGCTAATGAGAATAAAAAAGAAACAAATCTAAAAAAATATCTTTTTTAAATCTGCTACAAAATGGTTCCTGATTCCTTGACGCATTTCATTGGATAAGATAAATTATCTTTAGTTTACAGTTATGTTACAACTTATGAAGCATAACTTTTCATCATCCTTATCATCTTTATATTATATCATTAAATTTTGGTTTTTTATTTTAAAACCCATTATCACCAACAGTGCTACGAGCAATTAATGAGAAGATCGTCAACTTTCACAAGAAGTTCACGGTATGTTGGTAGAAGAAGTCTTCGTGGTCGACAATTGTTCTCAACAGTTTTTTAAATAGTCTCATGAAAAATAAGTTTGTACGATTCTGTTATCTCAATATACAGTCCATTGCTATTGTTTGCAGGTATGAGCTTTGTTATATAATGACGTTAATCAATATGAATAAAATGATGCAAGCAAGTCGTGGGATAGCTATAGAAAGAGTTATTTTAACTGAATGTAAGAAGTCAACAATATCTAACTCGCTATCATATCTAGTACATTTGCAAAAATTTATGATTACAATATGAGCGATGCTTTGATTTCTCGAACAGTTATATAGGTACTTGTTGCGTTGTTGAGTACCGGTAATTTTTTAATATAAATTCTGTGATTAACGTATTTTTTGTCTTTTGGAAAAACATATCTCTCATTACTTTAGGTGTTTTCAAATCTCACTTGAGGTAAAATTTGGCAGCTATTTCCATATATTGAGGAAATAACTACACCATTCCAATTTCTTGAACAATTATTATGTAGAAACAACGGCTGAAGAGATAGGATAGTAAGAAATCAAACAATTTGCAGTCATTTGACCGTGCAATAATATTATACCTTTTAAATAATCTATTTTCATCCACGAGGGCTCGCACATTGATTTTTTTCAATAAGTGATATATTTTGACCTGAATTCCATTTATTTTTATTTTTATTTTTATTTCTTTATCTAATTGCAGAATTACCCTGAATGTTTAAATTATTTTATACTGTGATGACAAAGCTGTTTGTTTAAAGAACTAGTTAAGAAATATTCAGAGGGAAAATCAGTGCCACGTAAGGTATCAGAAAATACTATAGAGAAGATGCTTTTCTCTTATCTTGGATCATCAAATCGTTTCTACGAAGCTCAATTGTCACATCTTCCTTATGTATTGAGGAATGAAACGAGTTCACACTGCTATTCATTTATGACATTATCGAAATGAGTTCATTAATCACAATTTTAGCAAGTCTCTTGTCTAAGTATTTGCTCGAATGTCCTTTTTAAATAGTCTCTTGAAAATTATTAATAGTATTATTTCATGGGGATTCATCTGTCCATGGTATTTTAAATCATTCAAAATTGTCAAGAGCCAACATCTTTTTACAATATTTTCTTTCTTTTGTTCAACGTCCATAGTAGTTGAAGTAAAGGTTAAACGATGAAGATGATATTTGACTTCAATAATACCATAAATATTTTACATGGAATAATTCTTCAGGTTTCAACTATTTTGCGGTACTTTAGGTTATTCAAAACGACCAAAAATTTATAGATCTAAATGTTTCGATTGAAGTCGAATAAAATAAATATAAATGCAAATTTTGTTTTTTTTTTTTATTTAAACAAAACTTATTGCTATTGTTGATTTTTTTAGTATAAACTAATCTAATTAATATTCTGATCGTCGTTTTTACTGTCAAATTGGGATGGATAGATACTTCCGAATACACTTGACAGAATTCTTTTTTTGTTTCCTAAAGTTCCATACAACACTTTCTTGAAGCATTCCTAAAGATATGGATTAAAGACTCTGAGCACATTTTTTCATAAAAATTGCCAAGGTAAACACAAATGTTTTTTTTTTTTGACGGCAGCACATCAAATGATTGACAAATAGGCGTAATAATTTTTTTGGATCTATTACTATCATTAATTAAAAAAAAAACTCTGGAAAAAAAAAAATAATATGATTAATTAAACGGTCAATTGGTTGTTATAATAATGATATAATAATATAGTGTGTTAAATTGAATTTTTTTTAGTCAAGGAATAAATAACAAATAAATAAATAAACAAATTTTTCAACAATCTTTTATTTCTTCCTCATAAAATTAAATTTATAAATTTTCTTTCTTGACCATGCCATTATTATTATTAAATTCATCGTATACAATAATACTAATGATCGTTTTTATGTTATTAATGATCGTGAATGGTAAAAATCAATTCTCCTTGTTTATTAAAGATATTTTAACAAAATAAATATTATTTTTAAATATTATTTATTTTTATTTAAGCTTCAAAGTTGCCAAAAGAAGAATTGTCAGATTTGCTAAATCCCAATCAAAAAATTGTTTATATAACAGTGACCAACTATGTAACAAGATATGTTTCATTGACTCTACAAGAACCAACAAGTTTACCGTCATCACAATCTAAGCAAGTTCTTCCTTCTTCTTTTACAGCAAATCAAGCAACCTTATTCACTTCACCACTCATGGAATTACCATCACCATCGTCATCACCGCAGTCTCCTACGACCATAGTATCAGAAATTATTACACCAACGACAACAAATAGCCACGTACAAAAATTTGCCGATTCCGTTGTTCCTGTCGAATATACTACTTCTAATGCTGACTTATTTACATTTTCCACTCCAACGTCTTCAACTATCGACTACATTTCTACTTCTGGTACTGTTACACCTACTGGTACCACCACCGACACCAACACTCATCTTTCAATAACCACCGATCAAAATAATCCTCATACAACTTTGAGTGAAAATCAATTAAAATCGATAATAGTCGGCAAGAAATACAGCTCGACTTTAACTTCATCAAAAGTAAAAGCAACATCGATACAAGCAACAACAACAACTAGTTCGAGTGTAAAGAAACTGTTAGATTTAAACGAGATTTTAATTGTTTGGTGCTTATTTTTGAATTTTATTTTTTATTTTTCTATTGTTAACAATTATTGATGGATCAAATTTACTATTAATATAATAATTGGTTAAATAAAAAATTAAAAAAAAACAATAAATGACCAATTGTTTATGAAATTTTTAATATTTTAACTTTTAAAATAAGATTCAATGGCTTCGCTGATCAGGACATATACTGTATAATCTGCTATATAAAATCTTCGCATCGTCATCTGCAATAAAAAAATCGATGATGATCACTGATCGATCATTTCATACCAATGATGTTTTAATTTCTAATGCAGGTAGGCTGTGTGAAACAAATCTTGATGATATATCGTGCAACACTCACAATGTATACAATGTATACACTGTATACACTGTACAAACAAAAAAAGAAATATAAACTAAACTAACTTTTAAGCTTTTTATAATATGTATATAAATGTTCTTTTGTGGTTAGCATGTTTATTCGATTTCCTGATTCCTGAGGTCTAAGATTATTTCCAAGATGATGATTGATTCTCTTTCAAACAATATTTTGACCACAATAAATTAATTAGAAAGGAAAATTCTATTATGTTGTGTTTATTATTATGCAAAAACAAATTTTTAATTTAATTTAGTAACATAAGATTACTATAAAAGCCACATATATAAATATAGATATTTTGTTTCTACGTTTATTACTATTATTATCATGATGATACGACTTTATTTGTACATTGATTTACTGATTGACTAACAGAATGAACAAATGGATCAATAAATTTCTTGTTCGTTGTTATTGCTTCAAAGACAACGACAAAACATGGAAAATAGGAAGGAGAATTTTCCAAAAAGATGAATAAATATTGATAATATTTATATTTGTGTACTAGTATCTATCGTATTGTGTAAATGACAAATTTTGTACAATGCCCGCAATGCCCGGGTGTAACGTCATACATTAATATATTTTTGTGGATAGTTTCTAAATTTGTAATATGGCTTCTAAATTTGTACTAGTTACACGGCGAATCTTGGGAGCCGCAAATTACATAATTATGCATTTAAATAATTGATCTTCCCAATATTATTATTAAAGCCTTCTATATAATATCAAACATCTTTGATGCTTGTGTTATTTTGACTTTTGCTAATGATAAAAATTGTGGGCGCGTACGCGTGCGCGCAATATACCACCCACCACTTAACAAGGCGAAAAAGTCAACAATTCCCACCCTCGTCTTTAAATTATATAATTCACGGCACGTTCCTGAGAATCAACATAATGTACTACATTTTCCTTTAAACCTAGGTTTATCCGCACAAGTCCGAGATTTTTCCGCATTATCCTTTGCCAACCAATTTATTTATTAATATTTATTTATTTAATAACAACAATTATTAAACATCATTCATCAGTTGGTTACTCCAACCAATAAATTTATTTTTATTTAGCGGAAAAACTAAATTTATATATTTATTAAAAATTTTTTTTCTTTTTTTTTTTTTCAATTTCAAAAAAAAAATTTTCCAATTTCACAAAAAATACTATATATTTTTTTTAAAATAAATAGATATAAAATATAATATGGCAAGAAAGAAATTAACAACTCGTTTAAAGGTTACAACAGCTTGTGGAAATTGTCAAAAACGTAAGATTAAATGTTCTGGAGAAACGCCTTGTAGTTATTGTGTTAAAATAAATAAACCATGTTTACCTGGTAAGCCTGGTAAAAAACGTGGTCCTCCTCCTGGCACTGAAGTCAATAAAAACCGTAAAAAGTTTATTAATACAAGTTTCTCTCAATTCAACAATTCTTATCATTATCAACAACGTCATGTTGTTAATTATTCTCCTGATTGTGGTCAAGATTATGATGACATTAATATTAATAATAGTCTTGATTCCAATCCAAATGATCTTTATGATCAACATCATCACATTTTTCAATTTAACCAAGTCAGAAACAACAATATTACTTCGACTAATAATAACGCCAATTTTATTAATAATGCTAATGCTACTAAGGACAACAATGAACCTTTTCAATCAAGATTGCATGTAAATAATTATTCTACTTATGAACAATGTATGCGCTTTTTTTTTTATGACGATCATTTTCATTTATCATCATCTATTTCTGCTTTTAACTAATTTTTTTATATTAATATAATTTAGATCCACGTGATTGCATAATTGCACCAAATTCAGATGAAAACACAGAAAATATAACAAAAAAGATAATTGTTAGAAATAATAATGATATCCCTTTAATCAAACCAATCCCAATTTATCCACAATCAAACACAAGTACTGTTATTGTCAACAGTTGCCCAAACAATTCGTTATTAGAGGAAGAAAAACAATCAGATGAAATTGAAAAAGATTCGTCGTCGATATTTAAAAAATCAAAATCATCAACAACAAATGAAAAATCACCAATATCTGGTTCTAATAATCGTAATAGTGATAATCAACAATCAAGAATTTCAATCATGTCTTTGCTTAATATTCCAACTATTGAAAAAACTCCATTATTAACAAGATCATCATCATTATCATCATCCATCTCTTCTTCTTCACTTATAGATAAAAAGAGTTAATAATTGTTAATAAAATCAATCTTTGAAGATTTAGAATCCTCGTCACGTGAAACTATAGTGCTATCTTTTTTATCATAATAATAATAAGGATAATAAGGACGGAAAAAGTTAAAATTGCCTAATTTGGAACATTAATAACTCTGGACAAATGTAAATGTAAGGGGATCTGAAAGTCAATAAAACCTCAATACAATTAATTACGTAATATAAAAAAAATTTATATTTAAGTTTTTGAAATTAAAATAGATTGTATATTATTAATATATATATAGTTTTTATGGTATTTTCATCAATGAATTTAAAATCACTCACTGTCAAGGATATCGCCCTAGATAAAAATTGATCTACATAATTTTTATTGGTTCTTGCCGATTCATTCCGTTGCTAAACACCTTTACGAAAAAAATTCTTGTAATTACTAGTAGGAATAGATAGATAATAAAAGGCTTGTATTTTAATAATCCCAAAGACTTCATAAAGTAAAAGAGAGCCAAAAAAGGAATTTCGTTAGAAACCTTATTCTTTCTTGTAACTTTATACAAAAATTCTTATTAATAATTTAAATAATATCCATATATAGATAGGAAGAATAAATAGAATAAACTTCAAATCAACTAAAATCTTCTCACGGTAAGCTCTTGGTTGAAAACATATCAGAGTAATTTGGTTAGCTACAAAATTTCTTATTAATAGTAGTGTCAGACAATTGCCTATCAATGGATATGCCCCTAAGTTTGTTTTTACATTTATATTAAATTTATTAAATTTATATTTATTGTTGTTTTATGAATTATTATAAATATCGTATGTGTATGTGTTGAATGAGTAAAGTGAATAGTTTAGTTATGATCAGAGAACATACATAATATTAATCAATTATTTTGGATTAAATGAGATATCAATTATATCAATAAATGGCACATACTAATACTGCAACAAAAACGGAGATTTGTATCACCAAGGATTTTCAGGTTCAAAATTGTTTAAAAATCACCATTGTACTATTAGCATGATATTTTTTTTATAATGCTCCATCTGTTATCTTTGTTTTTTTCTTAAAACTACTTCTGTATATGTTGTACGTGAAAATGAAATCTATGTGAATTTGCAATTCACGTATGCGTGCGAAATTCAAATCAGCCAATCAGAATTTCACATCCAAACACCCAAAATTTTACCATATATAAAAATATAATGAAACCGATTTACACCAGATCTTGCTTTGTAATAAATAATTATGGAAGTATAACGGAATTTCTTTATGATTGGTCAATAATTATCGACAAAATTAATTGAGTTTATTGGTCAGATTTTATTGGACAAAATAAATTTTTATTTTTATCATCGTGTATAATAATAACTGTATAATGTGAACAGAATTAAAAAATTCAATACTAACACATAGAGAGAGAATAATTTTTAACATTCCCATTATTATTTCGTTCTTATTCTCATGATATGCTTTTAATGTTTGAGGCAATTAATTATGTTTAAAATTAAATCTTTAAAAGAAATTTTCTATTTTGATGAATTAATATAATAAATGTTTAGCAATATGTGTCCATCTACACGATGATGAAATTTAAAACAAATAATAAAAATAAATTTGTTTTTTGTTTATATAACATTATTATAACTATTTTAAATTTTTGTACAAAAGTTGTAATAATTAAAGTTATTATTATTTATTTATTTTTCACGAATTCTTGACATATTATGTTATATATATTATATAAGCAAGCAATACTAATTACATATCTATTAAACAAAACAAGTATTATTAATAATAAGTAAATATTTAAAATGATAAAAATGACATGTTGCAAATAGTCTCATATTATACCAAAAAAAAAAGAGTCTATACAGGTTCACGTATTCCGCACATCTGCGCCTCTGTAGTAAATCATGCTCTGTATGGAACAAATATATAGAATTGAAGATTGTACAGACTGGCCCCGCCAATCAACTTTTCAGAATTCACAAAGTTCCGTTCCGTACAAAATTAAAAAATAAAAATAAAAAATGTACGGAACAAATAGTGTACGGAATTGAAAGTTGTACGGAGTCTCTACTGACTGAAAAAAAAGTTAGCTTTTAAGTTCAATTCTTAAATTTTTTCGTAAAAATTGAATTTATAAATGATATTTTAATCAACTTATCTGTAATACTATCAGTTCCTTGCTGTAACTTATCATATGACGAACTTATTTTATAGGATGACTATTGTAAAATCATATATTACTAGCGATTTTGTACGTCCTTGTGTCTGTCTGGTATTTGGTTTTTTTAAAATTATTAATATTAATGTTATAAAAATAAATTTAAATGTCAGTTTATTTATTATTAATGTGTTATATATTTTGTGTAGTTAAATAATTACAGTGGTATTTGTGTTATTATAATATAAAATTTGCATTGTGAATATTTTTTCTTTATCTATTGTACTATAGTCTTAAAGCCTCCTTATATACAATGTTTTTTGTATAAATTCCGGCCTGTTCTGTTATTTACCAATGCATTGAGATTACATGCTTTATGTACTCTTGACATAGTCACATATAATTGTCCATGAGAGAAAATGGGCCGTGGAAGATATAGGTCAACATAGGGTAGCATTTGACCTTGAGATTTGTTGATAGTCAAGGCAAATGCTGGCCATACAGGGAATTGCTTTCTTTTTAGAACAAAAGGTAATCTGGTATCTTCTGTTGACATAAGCAGAATTCTAGGGGTAAATACACATTTACCTTGATGGTCTTCTGTTATATTATTACAATGTCAATTATCCAGGATTGGAATTGCTGACAGATAAGTCTTGTTCTGTTGCAAAGTCTGTTAACCGGATCTAGGTTTCTAAATAACATGATAGGAACATTGACTTTCAGAGTGAGTTCATGTGGAGGGAGACCTTGAGATGTTATGGAATTAAGATATTCAATTGGGTATAGATTTGTTTTGTCTTCTGGTATTGAATCAAAGCTATAATATGTATATTGTTCTCCAGGATATTTGGCCATAATTCACCCATTGATTTCATCAACATCATTGTTTAATGGGGTTAGTTTTGCTCTTTCCATCATAAAAGTAATGTTCATAGAATTTTCAATGAGATTAGGATAAACAGTATCTATTAGCAGATCAATGGGATCTTTGCCATTTTGTGGATGAACAATCATTTCATCAGAGAGCCAAATTAGATTGTTTTCAATTGTAGGCTCTGTTCCATTACCTATCCTAAGGAGGTATTCTGCAAATTTTTTTGGCAGTTTGGGCAACTCATATGTTATTAGTTAATGAGAAGGTATGAACATGGTGCCATAAATAGGATTTATTGAGAGCAGCATTGACTATTTGGACTCTAGTAACATTAATATTAATAATTTTAAAAAACCAAATACAGACAGACACAAGGATGTACAAAATCACTAGTAATTTTTTAAATTTTTTTTTTTATATATTTAATATATTAATTGTTAAATTTATATAATAATAAAATGGTTTTCAATATTATTAACAAAGAAATAAAAATCATTACAAAAAGGTGCACACATTAAATAATTTTATTTGGTTTATTCTATTAAATAAAACACTAAACAGTGAATGTATCATACTAATAAACTTTTATCTGATTTATTTCAATAAAAATGTTAACATATTGCAAGCGTGCAATCTGAGTTTCCTATTTAATAGGTTAATTTACGTTCCACACACAGACTACCTGCTGAATTATGGTCAAAGTTACTTTATCCTTTTGGGTAAAGGGTCCCTAGGTCCTATTTTACTAACTATATCCAAAGGCGTCCCATTGAGATGTATCTGAATAATTAAAAGGGTTCCCAACTAATAATTAAAGGTTGGCCAGACCATTAACCATTAGAATGGCTGGGGTCAATCACACTGGGTTTATTAGTTGATTACAGTCAATGACTATTTTATGTAAGGTTATATATTTATTAAGAGTTATTATTATTATGTTGTTATCAAGGTTGTTATCAAGGTTGTTATCAAGGTTGTTATCAACAATATTAACATTTGATTGATTCTTTTAACTTGGTCTAAAGCCAGGTGTATTTATACCTCTTGGGACAGTACAAATAACATGATGTGTGCTATTCTACTCTCCAATAATATGCTTATCAACTAATTACTAGCATAGCGGACATTTGCATATTTGGTAATGATTTGCGTTAATCACATTTTGATTTTATCACGTAAAAAAGAATTTTGATTGGGCTGAATATCATTACTAAATTAACAATTACACAAAATCACTAATTGCGCACAATCATTTTTTGACATTAATTAATTTTTAAACATAATAAACAAAGTTGTTTTTAGCCATTAAAATATTTTTATACATAAAAAATGTGATGTGATAGATACAGAGATAAAGACACATTATAAAAAAAATAATAAGGAAATTGGAATTGTGCAAAAATATGGGTTTACAATTTTTTTTTGCAAAAATCCCTTTCATAGATTGTGTGAATTTAACACCTCTGTTTTGTAAATAATAAAATTCAATGTCATTATAACAGTAACAGTAGTGAATTGTTCTCCCTTATCCATATTCGAATATTTGAAATGATATTTTGATTCTTATTATAATACTTTCGAATATAAATATCGTAACACTTTCGAATATAAATATTGTAACACTTTCAAATATTGTAACACTTTCGAATATCGTAACACTTTCGAATTAGAATATCGTAACACCTTCGAATACTTTCAAATTAATATTAACACTTCCAGATATTATAATATTGTAATTATAATATTAATATATATATACTTTATTTTTTTAATTAATGTAACAACATTTCATGTAATTAAATATATAAATTTGTTTCCATAAAAATCATTACATATTATTATTATAACGTAAATTATTACACATATATTTGAAAGAGTTACAATATTCAAAAGTGTTACAATATTTGAATATATAAAAATTATTTGACACCAATTTCGAAGTAGGGTATCAATGATGGAATTGCTTATAATTAAACAAAATGTATAAAAGAACTCTGAATTCCATGTAAAAATAAATTAGTTTTAACAAATAAAATTATTATATAATAGTCCTTGATAAACCCAAAATTGTGATAATTCCAATTTCTAAATTTTTAAATTAACATAGTTGCCACTATCAGTGATCAAAATTTTCAGCAATTCATAAAGCTGACACTTCTTCCATGTGGTCATATTTATCATGAATATTGTTTACAACATCATGAATACAAGTGTCTATATTGTTTAAAATATATAAAAAATCAGATTAATATCAATGTAGAATCTATTATCAATAGACTTACAAGCAAAAAAGATCTTCCAATAGAAGATGATCCTGAAGATGAAATTCAACCATTAGAAATTGATGAACCTGAGGAATTACAAATGGAATTTAATCTTCAAGCTGAGATTGAGTTTAATACAGCACTTCAAGAGTTCCTAAGGGATTAGATTTTATATAATAAATTTTTTTTTCTTTAATTAATTTATGTATTATTGTTACATGTATAAATTTAGAAATTCTTTAGAATAATTAACTACCTTTTGGAATCCTTTTATGTAATTAATATAACATCTATGTATAATAATAATAAAAATTGTATTTGATGTATATATATTATGTCTTGTAACTAACCAAATAAATAAGAAAAATATTAATATATATATATGTGTGTGTGTGCATGTATAAATTTAGAGTTTTTAGAACAACTACCTTTTGAAATCCTTTCATGTAATTAATAAATCATATAACATCTATGTACAATAATAAAAAAACTGTAGTCAGTGTATATATATTATGTCTTGTAATTAAATCAAATATATATATATATACAGTATATATGTATATGTATATGTATGTATGTATGTATGTATGTATGTATGTATGTATAAATTTAAAGGTTTTTTAGAACAACTAACTTTTGAAATCCTTTCATGTAATTAATAAATTATATAACATCTGTGTACAGTAATAAAAAAATTGTATTCAGTGTATATGTCTTGTAATTAAATCAAAAGAATAAAAAAAAAAATAAAAAAAAATGATAATATATATATCTTTTTGCATGCATAAATTTAAACAACTAACTACCTTTCATGTAATCAACAAATCACATAATGTCTACAGTTCACTCTTTCTATAATGAACTCCTCTTTTGTCTCTCATTCATTTCTTTGTAATTAACTTCCCTCTATAATGAAACTTTCCTTTTCATTTTTTTATAATTAATTAATTTTTCTTGATAATGAACATCCTAGTAAACACTCTCTATAACAAACAAAGGCATTTGAATCAATAATTAAAAATATTATATGTTTTGTAATTGTATATTTTTATTTTTTCAAAATAAAAAAAATAAAATTTTTGCGCACCTTGATAAATTTATATATAAAATTTGAAATCTTTAATTCATAATGAGATCTTGCAGTTTGCGGGATTAACGGGATTATTTTTAACCAAAATAAAGTTTCCAACAAAAGGTATATTATTGTAAAGTATTTTTTGGGTTTTACAATTATTTTTGATCATGTTATTTACGACCATGTTTTTCTATTTTAAATAATTGAATTCGAACGGTCACACAATATAAAAAAGATCGCCAATCGATTTTGTCACATGTGACAAATTCAAATGTCCGCTATGCTGCAACGTGACAAATCTATTTAAAACACGTGACTGTAAAATTTTATTGCATTTTTGATTGTGAATTTTTTCCCAAATCTGTCGCTGTGGCGCAGAAAGTTGTAGGGACTATATAGGTATCCTGCATCATACATACATATGTTTTTTTTTTAATTTAATTAATTATAATATTAGTTAAAACAATGAATAAGATATGATCAGAGAAATGATTCTAATATTTTTATCTTGTTTTTTTAAGAAATATTAGTTGACATTCTAATATAGTAAATAATAGGTAACAATGATATATTATCATGGATCATTTTATTGTTTTAATAAAAAGATAACAAGTTCTTTCTTTGACAGATATAAATATTATTTAGTTGTTTGATGAAGCTGTTTTTGATAAGAAAACGTATTTTAGAATTAATATAAATAGATGTTTTATAATATTCCTACAAAATAGAAATTTGTTAAATTGTTGTAATTTCATTTTAATAATTATTAATAAATAATGATCTATTATCTTTGTGATCATAAAAATCATCATTAAATCCATAGAAATCACTTGTCTCAGAATTTATTAAAAAAATACCATTCACAAAGGAGAGCAAGCAAAAGTACAATGAAGAGATATTTTATGGTCTGTTGTTGATGAATTAGCCAATGCATTTAATCTTCCAGATCCTACAGAACATGTTTTTTTTTTAAAAAATACAAAGGAAATGAATGACAATGGTTTTAATAATATGATGAAAAGGGCTTAAAATGCCTTAATGAATTATTATATCAAGAAGTTTATAAAAACATTATCATGTTCCACTGTTGGTAGACGAAGTAAAGATGTTGCTTTTGTAAAAGTTAAAGAACATAATGAATTTGTTAAAGAAATTAACAAAACAAAATGATGAAGCAGAAATTAGAGACAATATACCTGTTCTAGTTGAAGATATAACAGTTGCGCCAGTTAATGAAATATTACAAGTTGAAACCACTCCACATAAAAGTCATAAAAAAACAGATAAGGAACTCAAAATGCTTCAAGAAGCATTTAGTCATCCTACAGATTTACCAAAGGATGTAGCAAAAAAATCATTAGAAAATCTATTGAAATAAATAATTCATGGACATCTACTAAAGTTAGAGAATATTGGTATAATAATGTGAAAAGAAAACAAAAATAAAAATTATATTAACTTATAAAATGTTTTTTATTTTTAATTGTTTCTTCAATGTACTTCATCTAAAATAGTTATATACAATATAATAATGTGAAAAGAAAAAATAAATAAAATTACATTAATATATAAAAGGGTCATAAATAACTTATAAAATTTTTTTTTGCTTCTAGTTTCTTCCTCTTCTGTAAAAACCAAATGAACCATATATTTTCTGAAAGCCCTCAATATACTCTATCTTATTACACTAAAGTGATCGTTATAATGTTGTTTTTCATAAAGAATTAGGTCTTCGAAGCTAAAAGGTATGGGTCTTTTTGAAAGGCCATTTCCGGACAATAAAAAAAGTTACTGACAAATA